AAGTTACATATTTTATAGACATGAAAGAGGGTGTACAGATCTTTTTAAAGACAAACAACTGTAAATGTTTATCAACAGTCACAATTGGGAACGTTCATATCTTTGGTGGGGAGAGGGTGACGGAAAGCAAATCTCCATGCGTTTGTTAAATGTACAAGTTTTAAAGTGATAATTTACAATCCAGATTTACACATGATACTGAGAGATCAAGGTAAAACAGATGCAATAAAACGAGGACGTCAGACATCAGTGTAGTGATGCAGAACTGCTGAGCTCACATATTGCAAGCTTTAGTGTCTGTAGATTAATGACAAAGTGATGCTTAAATCAGATGACCAAACACTTCATGCGGTACATAGCGATTAAAAGTGTCACGATACATCCAATGGCCATTTAGGTTGACAGTCGATGGATTAAACACAATTTTTATTTTATGCCATTTAAAAAGCACAACAAATACATGTAATGCAGCATAATCCTCAAATTTTCAGACATTGAAAATAAAAAAAGCTATTACTCTTTTAACAAAGTTGTTAAAATTGCAATTTAACTGGTATGTGTAAGAGGGAAAAATGCATGTTACTATGGTCTTTGGAACTCAAAACAGAAATAATAGCTTATGTCTCACTATCATGACACCGCACTTCAGTTTATTCAAAGAAAACTAGTATGTATGATATTTAAACACGCACAAACACATAAAAGTGAAGCAAAACTAAATCAATCCCACTGCATCTCAACCCAGTCAAATTCAACCAATCGAAACACAACTCACTCCACACTGACAATGTACAAAAATAAAGAAAGAAAAAAAAAAAGGAAAATATTTTTTCAGTGTTTCAGTTTTTACTTTTTTTCTTTAAAGGCACATTTTAAAAATGTTTTAAATATTTTTTTAACACATAAACACACTGTTCATATACAACACAACTGAAATAAGGCTAAAAAGCACTGACTATATAACTCTACAAAAAGTAAGGAAATGTGGTGTTCACACTAAATGGTCCGCTTGATTTGGAATGTCTTCTGCTTACCTAACAAAAGAGTCCTCAAACAGTGCAAGCTAGAATTGACTATCTTAAGACCTGTCCTTTATATACCTGCTTCAGATTATACACAGCTCACATCAACAACAGGAACAACTATGCATGCACAACCCAAAAGGAAGTACATTCTGTCCTCAGAACAAACACTAATAATGGGCATTAAAGTCCCAGTTTAATCTAGATGGAAATCAGGAAGAGGACCGATCATCAGGGCACACATATGATTCGGTATAATCAAGAGTTCCTTTTAAATTCTGCCGTTTTTGATGCCAACACCAACCTAATATTGAGCGGGCTGACATTAATAACGCCTTTATCTAATCTAGAAAATGCATTAAAGATTTTTTGGCATAATATTTAGACCAAGTAACAGCTAAAATCCTCTGTAATGGCGCAGGACATTTATGTCTTGCCCTAATGCGACAAACTTAAAAAAGCCAAACTACATTCAGACAAATGATTGCCAAACACAAAATAAAAACACAATAATAGCTATTAAAAAAGAAGAAACTGAACAGGCCATAAGAGATTTCCAAACACCGCACACAATATTAATTTCCTAGACATTTAAAGGAGGAAACAGAGATTTGACATGCTCTTACTTGGTAAACATTCACTAAAGTGCTACAAATGATTTTGCTGGCTTTATACAGTTTCCTTCTGAGGAACAATGAGAATGTTTATTAAGTAATTGGCAAAACTATTTCTTTTTCGAATGGCTTGTAATTTGGTCATTGAATTTCTGATTAAACTCCCCAGTGAGGGAGTATTTGGGCCTCTTATAACATTCAAATGGTGCACAGATCGCATTTACCGGTCTGCAACATTCATCCAAAGACTGTATCTACTTCTAACTGGACATTTGGAATTAAACCAACCAACCAAACAAAATGACTTCAACTTCAATCACACAAAGCACCCCCAAATGCACTATTAAATCACTTCTAATCATCTTAAAAGTGTTCTATAACGTCTCTCTGCTAGTTAACGTAGTGAATAGGCAGATTACTGACTACAAACTAAGAAAAATATAAGAAACTGATGTTCCGGGATGGATAAACCTCGTCTAAGATTGCACAACCCATTTATAACACGCAACCATTCCTATGTGAGCCAACAAGTGCACTAAGAAACATGTTTGTACTACACTTTAAACTCGGTGAGAGAATAATTGTGGAAACAGGTTTCATCTTGACAGCTGACACAGGTGTTATTCTGTCCTTCTGTGTTTGTGATGATGTAAAGTGGCAACACATCCAAATCTTCGCATCTCTCCACCATTACGACATCAGCTGTCAATCAGGTTAACGTGGTCCAATCAGAGGGCCGTTCCCTCCCCCACAGCACTGGAAAAAGATTGCTCGAGGGACAAACGGGAATCTTGATGGTGTAACAGCTGCGTGGTGGAGAGATTTTACACACAGAGACCCGACTGCAAGGCGTTGAGACGGCGTTCGATGCATTGCTTACCTATAGAGAAATATCATCCTGGTTATGCAAATTATCTTAAAATGACATCTTAAGTGTTAAAACATACTGAAGTCTATTGTATTACTCACACTTGCTAATGCTGAGGATGTCAGCCTGATCTGTGAGGAGGAGAGACAGACCCTCCATGAGCAGCAAGGCCTTATGGTAGCGCTGAACTGATGCTTCCCCTTGATGAAACATCTCATCTAGAGCAGCCGTCTGCACCTGTAAGACCAGACCACTTCATAAATACACTTGAGCAACTGTTAAAAGCTCAAATTCACAATAGAAAAGAGCCTGGACGTCATAGTTTCCTAATGTTTTTCTTACCATCTGTACAGTGTGGCTGAAAAGGAGCCTCTCTGCGGTGATGCTGTTGATGTGGTCCATGAGTTTGTGTTTACGGGAGAAGAATCGCTCCAGTTGAGCATTCAGAGAACGGCAGGACATCACGCTGGACTTATACAGGTCATTCAGCCTCCTCACCACTGAAAGAAAAAAATCAAACTGAAAACCTCCTCAGTTCCACTGTATGGACATTTTTACTGACTTGCATGCAAACTACAGTTGGTCTCAAGTATTTGTACATTGGACACTGCATCTCTAATATATTTTAGTTCCATAAAACACTGTGGGTCAGTATATCTACACCAGGTTTTCCCAAACTGGAGGTTAATAATTAATTAAATAAATAATAATAATAATAATGAAAACATTTAAATAATTAATGTAACAATTCAAACAAAACAAATAAAAACTTAGTAAAAAAATATTTCATTTGTTTACCTGCATACCATGCGAATACTGTATAAACTGACATCCGGGAACAAAATTATTGAAATATTAGCTAAAAACCTAAAGCTGACAAAAAAGTTTGGGAATCCTTTCCCGACACCCTCTAATGACTATATACATTTAAATATTTTTCAATAAACATATTTATTGCTTTACCTAAATTTCACATTTTAAATGTATTATATTCAGGGGTGTACATAAGTTTTTCAGCCTGGCTCTCATAAGAGCACCGAGAGATTTGGTTTGATCCCTATACTGCACATAGTGTGACCCATTAAATATCATAGTGATAACAGTATTTTTGCACTTGATTTATTTATTTTTTAAATAAAATAAAGTGTGATAATATGATTATATTTTAAAATAAAAATAGAGTATTAAATAAAAATACAATTATTTTATAGAAAACTTAAAAATGAGATGCTGATATTTACTTTTTTATGAATTTTCATCATTTTCAACCTTTGTAACAAATGTAAAAGAGGTGCTCTACCAACAGAAGAGGAGGTGCAACCAAAAAAAAACAAAAAAAAAAACATATGAGCTGAACAAAGGTGCAACACTCACTCTTCAATAAAAAAGTAAATTACACATGTCAGCTACAAAATAACCAGAGAATGTCAATTTATTTAATTAAGTTGAGTATAATTACTGAAGGTTAAAGTTTAGCCCACTTTACCTGAATCCCACTGGCCCACTTTATCTAACATATTCAGCCAAAGTGGGCCTGCAATATTTAAACAAGAAAACTAAAATATTTAAAAAAGAATAATTTTTTTACATTTTATTTCGTTAACTGTAGTAACAAACAAAGCAGGAACTGTCCCAATAATATTTGTTTCAATTTAGTGAGCAACCTTATAATTCTTACGAGCTGAACAAAGGTGCAGCACTCACTCTTCAAAGTTCAAGCTTTATTAATAAAACAACATGACGTTTCGGCCGTCCAAGGCCTTCATCAGATAACAAGAGTAACAATCTCACAGTTATGTGCAGTCTGATAATCACCAACAGGTGTGCAACTCCACTAATTGTACTGATTGAGAAGTAGTTTCCTAATAGGATTAGAGAGAGAAAAAAAGAAAAATACAAGTTCAAGCTCTAACTTTAAAGAAAATATAAAATATGATTATAGTTTATTTTGAGAAAAGTCGTTTTTCTTTATATGGATACTTATGCTAAGCTTGTATCTTTTGATTATCTTTTTTTTTTTTTTTTTTTTAAAGTGTGTTTTT